GGGGGGGGGGGGTAGCAATGATCATTCTACACCATTTGAATAAATCCCCCTTGACAAAACAATGGAACTAAACTGATATAAATAGTTCTAATAGAAGTAAAAAACACTTTGTTGATGAAGCAGGGCAAAAATAAACAGAATTCATCAGTGGTGTGTCGGGGCAGAAATGGACATGGGTGTTGCTGAGGACACTGATGACCTTATTGTTGATTTTCCTGTTTGACCAAAAGGGAATATTATACCAGAATAAGGACCTTGGCTCTTTCTACAGGAGCATAGTTTTACTCCATTATAAAGGTATTTAGAAAACTAAACACTTGTCGGAATCTTTTTTCTTACAAGGATTGTATTCATAGAATAAGTGAAAGTCTACTTTCATTTCCAACTCACCCACTCCCATTTTTCTCAGATATTTATCAAGTAATGTGGTTTGTAATCCAAACAAAAAAAGTGCCTTAATCCAGAACGTACACATGGACATAATAACACTAGGCTGATCATGTTTGTACTTTACTAAAACACTGAGATCTTCTCTAAAAGTGGTTTGAGAACATGAGGTCTAGAGAGTAAAGAATTGTAATGAAATGATAAACACGTCTGTGATTCTCTCTAGCCATAGAATCATAGAGGCAGCACATTCCTGTCTGTCCTTTGGGGTGAAAAAGCTTACTAGGGAACCTGACCCTATTCCCTTAACAGGGGTCTGCCTCAGGATGTTCACATGTTTCACTGTGTGGGATAAGCAAATTGACATTTAGACATAACTGAGGCCAACCTGGAATTTGGCTGTTACCCTTCCTTCATAAGCCGTTGTAGACAGGCTCTTGGGGGGGGGAGGCTAAGTTGTCATGGCAGTCTCCTAGGAAGCCTGGGTCATGGAACAGAATGGGGCTTAATAGATGAATGCTAAGATAAGCCAACTTCACTTTGTGTAACTTCGAGCCCTATTTCTTGGGTTATTAGGATGTACTTAGTATATTTTTGTTCTAGAATTTGAATGTTCATGCTGGGATAATCATATTGCAGTGATGCCAAACAATTGCCTAAAAAGGAATCTGCTTTGACCCCTATGACTTTAAAATCTCTCCTTTAATCAAACCTCCCTGAGTCTCTCCTGAGGGCTTATTGGAAGAACTCTATTTTGTCTAACATCCAGCAGTGAAGATTAGCTGGGCTTATGTGTGAAGTTAGTCAAATTAAAAAAAAAAAAAAAAGACTGAAAAGAAAATTAAAGTTGAAAATGGAAATGGGACTTGAGTCAGACTTTGATAGACTGCCCAAGTATTTTATCTAACGGGTTATAAGTTTGTAAAGTGGATCTAGATGGTCAGAGCTGGTATTGGCGAGCTTTAGAAATCTGTAAAATCTCCTAAATATTTGTTGATTTGATTATAAATTATGGACTGGAGTATCACACCACAAGTCTGAGTGCTTCCAGCACAAACAGAAAAACCATTATTTTTGTATTATTTCATTTTTTTCTACAGTTTATACTTGTTGGGAGACAATTCTCCAAAGGTCTCTTACATTTCTGTATATATCTTTGTAAGGAGGTGCTGACTCCCTACCTCCTAGACTGTCTTTTGGGGCATGTGTGAGCACCCTTAAAAGATAGGGATAGTGTCTCCACCTCCTTTGCCCCCTCCCCCTTCTGAAAAACAACTATTAGCAGATTATTGGACTCTTGTCAAAACTGAACACCCGAGCCATCAGCCTGATACTTTCATTTGGAGTGGATCAAGCAGACTCATGACTACCAAGGTGAGAAGGGCCCAAACAAGCCTCACTTGTCAGATGGACTCTATATATTCAAGAATGCAGCTGGCTTAGTCCCAGTGGCACCTTGGATTTACATGAAAAAGTGGCAGCTATCTGGGGAAAATTCCCCTGCCTGAAACAAAGGCACTGGCTCAATGGTGTCTTTGATTAATAAAGATTACATTTAGAGGGTTTAAAAATACATTTAGGTTGCATTTAGGAGATTCCTTTAAATGCCTGCCGCCTCTGACTGATGGCTTGGCCAAACTGAGACCCAGTGGCAGCCAGGGGGCTGCTATGGTGCCGAGTCTCAGTGCCAGGTGTGCAGAACTGAAAATGGATGGGGTTGGCCTGCTCAGCAGGCAGAACTCAAAGCCATTTTCCTAGCTCCAGCCAATACCCTCCTTGCTGAGCCTTGTTACATTTTTACTGCCTCTTAGGCTGTTGCTAATGACCTATGGTTTCGTCTGTCGCTTGGAAGACTACAGATTGGCAGATTAAAGACACCCTTTCATAGGGACTAAAAACTGGAAACAGATGGTGGCTGCTGACTGAACTGTCTGGGTCATTCTCTGAAGAGACAACTAGACTAAAGC